GTTGTTTTTTTACAATCCATAGGAGACCCTCATCAAGGACAAGTGTCTGGTAAGGATGTGGAGGCAAATCTTGCCTGCTTTGTTTACATGCTGAACAAACTGACAGGGAAAAGTAATTTAAAGGCTGGTAAATTAAATGTTTTTTTCTTTGTAAAAGCCAATTTTGCTTGTGTACATCATAAAAATTTGCTACTTCACAGGCAGTTTTAAAGCATTCCCCAAGTGAGGTATTTAAAGAATTGTACATTTTTAATTTTACCATTTAAGCCATTTTTGTTTGTCTTGGTACATGCTTCTCCTGCCAGTGCCCAGCTCCCTATGCCCTTGGTTTGTCAGTCCCTTGCCTATTAGTGTTTAAAATAGACAGTTGATTTTCAAGATTCATCTCCTATTGACATTAGTAAGGTTTTCAATAAAGTTTGCAATCTGTAGAGTTTTGGACATGTTCGCTGATCCTGTCCTCCAGTCAAACCCAAATAGATTCGCTCATCACTAATCCTGGGTTACCCTCGGCTGAGGGTAGATATCTCACACAGGACCTCACGTGAAATTGTATCTTAGGACAAGGCAGGCTTTAAGAAGTGTCTAAAGCATATTAAGCACCTGGCTAACCTATTTACATATGCTTTCCCTCCATGTTATGCAGACTTTATTATGTACAGTATGTTCAGAAAAAGCTACCTTGGCTTTCTCTCCTCACCACTAAAATGACTGCCCTCCAGAACCTTACAGGCTTGCATTTAATAATTCACAATTTAACCACTTGCTGCCCACCAGCAGTAAATTTACTGCAAGCAGCTACAGGCTAGGTGAGGTACGGGTACCTCACCTAGCATATGCGCAGTGCTCGAACCCACCCAAGGGGGCATTCAGCTGCTCGAATCTATGACCCATCACAGCAGATCACAGTGCTCTGTACCTGGCTGGTGTGAGCGGCTGGGGTATCATGTGATTGCTATCACTTGATTACAATGTACGCAAAACTGTCATGAATGGATTCCATTCATGACAGCTTGCTTACTGTTGTGATGCTGTGATTGGCACCATGTACCATGGAATTAGCTATAGCCAATAACAACATCACTCTTTGTTGAACAGAGGTATACAGTTTGTGTCCAGGTTTTGGAAACTATATTGCACTCTGTACTAGCCTGTCCTTTTCTTCTTTGTACCACCCCCAAACTAATGGGCAAACTGAACAGACAAAGCAATCACCAGAAACATAGCTCTACTGCTTCTTTTCAAAAATGGTCCTCAGCCCTGCCATAGGCTTAGGTCAACTCAAATGATTGGCCTCCTTCTTCCTTAGATGTTCTTGCTGCGAACAGTACTGTCTAGACTTTCTTTGAAATTTTAGCAAACCCCAGGCTTAGCTTTCTTCCAGTTTTGGCTCTTAGAAACAACTTGCCAATCACCTTTGCCCCCAGGTTCCTCAATGTAAGGTCTGGATTTTTATGAAAATCTTTCCTCAAGGTTCCCACTCAAAATCTAGCTCACAGGTTAATCAGTCTTTATCAAATTGTTCAACAGAGGAAGAATTATGTTAGGAGCATCATTGTTGCTAGGCATTGGTCAGCTCACACTTCTCTGCCTCTTCTGTCCTGATATACTACAGTGCTCAAGTCACCCTATTAAAGTGGAGTTCCACTCACCCTGTCAAAAAATAAAAGTCAGCAGCTACAAAAACTGTAGCTGCTGACTTTTAAAAAACAGTCACTTACCTGTCCCTTGGTCCCCCGGTATGTCCCCCGCAGCCCATTTCACCGGCCGTCCTGTATTCCAGGAGGCCGGCATCTTCAGTGTGAGCACCCGGCTGTGCTGCTTGCAGCTCCACAGCTGGGTACCCACTGCACATGCACTTCATGACTGGTCCTGTAGTCTACTGGGACCTGTCACGTGTCCCAAAAGACTACAGGGAGGGAGGACACCTTCCGCTTCCGATCGCCTGGGCGATCAGACGGGAAGTGGAAGCGGGTACCTGTCAAATTCGGTACCCACTCCCCCAAAGGTGCCAATCCTTAATGGGGTGCGGGGGAGCAGTCCTTAAAGTGGAACTTCCCTTTTTGGGTGGAGCTCCGCTTTAAGTGTTATTTACACCTGACCCCTGAACTGTGTACATTACCCACTCCTGACACCTGTGCAATGTACATTACACATCTGACCCCTGCACTTATGTGTTATCCACACTTGATTCCTGAACTATGTACATTGCCCATTCCTTACCCCTCCGTGCTGTACATTACCCACTCCGAAATCCTGTACTCTGTGCATTACCCACTTCAGACCCCTGAACTATGTAAATTATATACCTGACCCCTGCACTTTTGTGTTTTACCCACTCTTGTCCCCTGAACTATATACATTACCCACTCCTGATCCTTACACTATATACATTACCTACTCCTGATACTTACATTTCATTATACAGTGGGGCAAAAAAATATTTAGTCAGCCACCAATTGTGCAAGTTCTCCCACTTAAAAATATGAGAGAGGCCTGTAATTGGCATCATAGGTAGACCTCAACTATGAGAGACAAAATGAGAAAACAAAATCCAGATAATCACATTGGCTGATTTGGAAAGAATTTATTTGCAAATTATGGTGGAAAATAAGTATGTGGTCAATATCAAAAGTTCATCTCAATACTTTGTTATATATCCTTTGTTGGCAATGACAGAGGTCAAACGTTTCCCTGTAAGTCTTCACAATTTTGGCACACACTGTTGCTGGTATGTTGGCCCATTCCTCCATGCAGATCTCCTCTAGAGCAGTGATGTTTTGAGGCTGTCGCTGGGCAACACGGACTTACAACTCCCTCCAAAGGTTTTCTATGGGGTTGAGATCTGGAGACTGGCTAGGCCACACCAGGACCTTGAAATGCTTCTTACGAAGCCACTCCTTCATTGCCCAGGCGGTATGTTTGGGATCATTGTCATGTTGGAAGACCCAGCCACGTTTCATCTTCAATGCCCTTGCTGATGAAAGGAGGTTTGCACTCAAAATCTCACGATACATGGCCCCATTCATTCTGTCCTGTACATGGATCAGTCGTCCTGGTCCCTTTGCGGAGAAACAGCCCCAAAGCATGATGTTGCCACCCCCATGCTTCAAAGCAGGTATGGTGTTCTTTGGATGCAACTCAGCATTCTCTCTCCTCCAAACACTACGAGTTGTGTTTCTACCAAACAGTTCTATTTTGGTTTCATCTTACCATATGACATTCTCCCAATCCTCTTCTGGATCATCCAAATGCTCTCTAGCAAACTTCAGACGGGCCCGGACATGTACTGGCTTAAGCAGGGGGACACGTCTGGCACTGCAGGATCTGAGTCCCTGGCGGCGTAGTGTGTTACTGATGGTAGCCTTTGTTACGTTGGTCCCAGCTCTCTGCAGGTCATTCACTAGGTGCCCCCGTGTGGTCCTGGGATTTTTGCTCACCGTTCTTGTGATTTGACCCCACAGGGTGGGATCTTGCGTGGAGCCCCAGATCGAGGGAGATTATCAGTGGTCTTGTATGTCTTCCATTTTCTAATGATTGCTCCCACAGTTGATTTGTTCACACCAAGCTGCTTGCCTATTGCAGATTCAGTCTTCCCAGCCTGGTGCAGGTCTACAATTTTGTTTCTGGTGTCCTTCGACAGCTCTTTGGTCTTCACCATAGTGGAGTTTGGAGTGTGACTGTTTGAGGTTGTGGACAGGTGTCTTTTATACTGATAACAAGTTCAAACAGGTGCCATTGATATAGGTAATAATGAGTGCAGGACAGAGGAGCCTCTTAAAGAAGAAGGTACAGGTCTGTGAGAGTCAGAAATCTTGCTTGTTTGTAGGTGACCAAATACTTAGTTTTCACCATAATTTGCAAATAAATTCTTTCCAAATCAGCCAATGTGATTGTCTGGATTTGTTTTCTCATTTTGTCTCTCATAGTTGAGGTCTACCTATGATGCCAATTACAGGCCTCTCTCATCTTTTTAAGTGGGAGAACTTGCACAATTGGTGGCTGACTAAATACTTTTTTGCCCCACTGTACCTGTTATACACCTGATACTTGCACTCTATATGGTACATACTTTTGACCTCTGTGCCCTGTACAAGTTTTAAACTCTTCCATTGGTAGCACAATTTTGCCACACCTAAATATCTCCACAATACAAACTGCCTGCAGACTATGGAGTGACAGTAGTTGTGGGGAGAAAGGGGTGTGTGGGGGGATTGTAATGTGTAACATGCTTCAGAAGATGAACCTAGCCTTTAAAGTGTGGATTCAGGGTAGAACATGTAACATGTTCCAGCATCTGCAGCCTCTCCCCCCCTCCCTGTGACAGCGGGCAGGGGATCTTCTCTCTGCACCCACTGTTGCTATTTGAAAAAGAGCATGGTGGTGTGAAGGTCCACCCACATGGCCATGTCATTCCTTCACAGTTTATTCTGTATGAATGCATACAAGTAGCTTCAGCCATTGCACCTGATGGCTTGTAGTTCTCAATGAATTACAAGGGCACTAATGAACCCTCTAGTAGTCCATTGATTCTTCCTGCTCTCAGATAACTGCCTGCTCCTATGAGGTATAGGCAGAACACTATGCTGAGAGTCAACAGGAGCTTGAGAATGTACCTGTATTCTGCTGATCGTTGGTGCAATGTTCTGGAGGGTTCTTAGAAAAAAAAATATTACATGCATATTTTGTTACCTGCAAAAAATATGCATTTATTATTTTTTTCCCAAAAAGAGAACTTATTCTTTGACACACTGTTTGCTGAAAAGGTAAGGAAAATCGTGTCTCTTTTTGAATTCATTTATTAAATTGAAAAGGTTGCTCTAATTAAGTTTCTGTACCCCTTCATACATTCAGCTAATCTTACATGACAATGACAATACTAAAGCACAGGCACTCAATCGCCTGGCAGCTCCTGTTAGAATGAGGAAGTGATGTTGTTACCCTAGTGAGACTGCAGTTTCTGGAGTGGTAAATTTATCAGATGTATCTCTGTGTTGTAGGTATCCTCCATTCCCTCCAGCCTATAATGGTGTCACGAACAGATCCTGATTCTAGAAAAAACACAATCAATGAAATAACAAAGCGTGCAACATCAGAAGGAGAATGGCCACAGGTTTGAAGTTCTTTTATATGGCAAATTTGCTGAGTTTAGCTTGTATACCTTCTCAGTTCCTTAAATTGAATAATATTTTTGTATTCTGGCCTTCAGTTAACCTGTTCCTGCTGGCCTTATGCGGCCTCTTGGCAGGTGGGCTTTAACGCTGAACGGCCGCATATATGCTGCCCTATGTAAACAGTTTTCTGTACCTTCCTTTGGCAAGAAGGGGTTAAATAGAACTGATTGCTCAATGATGTGCAGCTTATTTTAATCAGATATTATGCCCCCAATGACAAACAGCTGTCCATTATTACACACTTGTTCAGGGTCATTTAATAATATGCGACAGAGACACTCAGTATAACAGGAGATGCCAACATCACTCTACCCCCCCCTTGACAAAAGAATATCAATGGGTGTGACGTCTGCCCCATACTCTAATCCATCTTTCCAAGCTTTCTGTGCACTTCTTTTTTATTACTCATTAAAAGTTGCCTGAAGGGAGTTGCACCCAAATAAATAGGACTATACTTACTTCTCACATTAACCTTCCCCACCTGCACCTTTCCCTTTTCTGTATTCTGTCTTCTCTGCTTTGACTATCTTCTCAGACTGATGCTCATTACAATGCCGCCTCTAATCTTTTTCTACATAGCCTTTGCTCCATGGATACATTTTTACTGACTCACCATCTTGGCAGTAGGTAGTGCTAGATGCAGCGTTACCTTTCACCATACAACTATCTTCCCATATAGATTACTTACTCTCAAATACTGAAGAAGGTCTGTTTGTCAGGCTCAGATATTACTATGTAAAGCTATGTATTTATATGCCAATATAATTTGCACAACTGAGTTGCATAGACTGTAAGTCCAAATATCTAAGAATAGCACACACACGCATACTATATATATAGTACATTGAATATAAAATGAAAGAATGTAAAGGCACAGCCTACGGCCAAAATTACCATTCGATTTCCATTTTGAATATGGACATCAGGATATTAGCTAAAATTATAGTAGACAAATTAAAAACACATCTTGGGGATGCTGTTCACCAGGATCAGGTGAGATTTATTCCTGGTCGCAGATTCCCCTTTGTCCATTGGATCAGATGGGATGGTAGTCAGATGGAAATGGACTGCCCATAGAGGACAGCGGGCTGTAGTCAATGAGGACTACATGCAAACAGCCATTAAGGCTGACGGAAGTTGAATTTTTCGCATTCACAGAATACTGTGAACATGTGACATGGGCGGAGCCCTGTGTGGCCATGTTTCTTTAAAATTGTGACAGCTAGGGGGGGAGAACATGCTCTGCTAGCTGTCAAAATGCGGGATTGGGTGGGATCAGGGGCTGGTTCTTTCGTAGTATTTTACATGTTACACCCTGAATATGGGTGTAACATGTTATGAATGGTGAACTTATCCTTTAAAGACAAACATTGTCTCTCAGGAAACCTTTTAACCACTTATAGTGCAATAATCTAGAAAGCAGTAAAGTATGAGGGGATGAGAGACACTGCACACCACTAGCTCAACAGGTGGAAAAAAATGTGAACGTCTTAGCCTTGGAATCCTCCTAATCCACACCCCTCTGATGGATTTCGCACATCCCACTGGGGCTTAGTCATAGAGGTATGACTAAACCTTGGTGAGCATGCAAAAATGCATCACAGGGACGTGGCTTAGGAGGAATGCAAACCTGAGGCTGTTCACATTCTTCTCTACCTGTTGAGCTAGTGGGGTGCTGTATTCTCTTATTCCCTCATTGTCTCTTAGAAGGCATTTTAAAAAAACTCACATTTTGAAGGGCACTAGACAGGGATGTGCGCTGTCACCAATGCTTTTTGTCCTAGTGCTGGAAGCCTTCCTTCATAAAATTAGGCATATTGAGGGCATTATAAATACTAAACCCTTTCGCACTATGGAACAATGATTAAATCTACACTACAAAATAACAACCAAACAACTGCCGTACTAAAAATACTTTTAAACTGTGAAACAGTGTGAAAATAGTGGAACTCCAAAACCTTCAGTCAGTGCAGGGCTAATGATTAGTGAAACTGGTACATACTGTATAGAAACAAATCACTTTTTATATAATACTTTGATGGGAAAGAATAAAAAAATCTATAGTATACTGTAAATCAAAAAAAGAACAAACAATCCATTGCTATAATTGTATACCGTGAAACTCCAAAATCTTCATAAAGAAAACAACTTTCCCACAGTTCCAATGAAAAATCTGTGAAAATGTATAACTGAATAATTTAATCTCCAACTCCAAATGTTCACTAATTGTGTCTGTCAATCAATAAGACAAAACTCTCAAGGTGCTTCCTACAGAGGTATGGGCATTCAGTTAAAAAGCTGGAGGAAGTGTAAATCGACTTTGACTAGTGCACTCCTAGCCCATTGAAAACTACAAGCCGTCTGCCGAGGTGGAATATGAGACTTGTCATTTATTCATTCACAGATCCATGTCAATGAATGGTGGAGTTGTGCAGGATACTGATTTTAACAGTGACCGTGCCTGCAGGAATGAGGACCCCTGACCATTGTCACAGAAGGAGGGTTTCACGGGCTGAGGCAGAGGATGTTGGAACATGTGCCATGTTAAACTCTAAATATGAGTGTAATATGTAATATGCTCCAAAAGGTGAACTTATCATTTAATTTATGGTTACTGACACTGTCAGGCTCTGCCCCAGTGCTCTGTTTAGCAGAATCGGTACTGTAACGAAGAAGCAGACATCCGGCGGCTGTCCCACTCCTCATCGCTCACAGAGCTGCAGTGTACTCCCAATCAAACTCTGCTGACTGTGTTAGGTTCCACCTTTACATGTTTCCTCATCTAAGACTTTGTCAAGGGGATTCCCTTGACAAAGTCTTCGCTGACAAAACATAGAGAGGAGACTAACACTGTCAGCCAATTAGGATTGAGATTACATTGCAGCTCTGTGAGCAATGAGGAGTGGGGCAGGCAGTGGTTGGCAGATGTCTGCTACTTCTTCACAGTGCTGCTTTAGCTGTACAGATCAGTTGTGTTTAGCCTGCAGCCTTGTAATGTGATGCAAGTATGCCAACAATGTGTATAATAAAGGTGTGGTAAACATTATCATGCAATATGAGACTTCTATTATTGCTTGTATCCATGTATCCTTGATTATGAGAAACCACAGTGGTTAGTGGAGGAGGACTGTTCCAGATGCTGAACAAGTGGATTCCTCATCTGTCTGTATTGAGATAGGCAAACACTTCTGATGAGTGCAAGTCATGAAGTGTGGAGAAGGAGGCACTGTGGGAGTTTTGTCTTATTGATAGACAGCTACTCTGGGTGATCATTTGGAGTTGGAGATTAAATTATTCAGTTATACATTTTCACTGCTTTTTCATTGGAACCATTGTGATTTGTTTATATAATGAACTATTTATAACATCAATGATTTGGCCCGTTTGTTTATTCTTGCCAAAGGTAATTAGCACACATTAGTTCATCAATATCATACTCCTCTCCTGATATTGAAGTACTTTTAGGCAACTATGTTTCTACACAAATTTATATCCGAGACCATCCCAGGATAATTGTCATCAGGAAAGAGAAAATGAAGATATGGAAATAGACTTGCTGTAATTACTTTTCCAAGAATCTCTTTCATAGTAAAACTCAAGGAAATTGCATACCTATTGTTTAATTGTAAGCTATTTTGTAATTATTATAATGTATGCTTGTACCGTTAGTTTTAGGAAAGACTGAGGTGGTGTTAATAGGTTAGCCTCTCTAAATTCTGTCTACTTTATGTCCCTTTTAAGTTAATGGATCACCTCTTAAATTAACTATTATTTTGTGGAAGATTCTTGGAAAACAAATTACTGGTAAGTCTACTTTGGGACTCTAGGCAAGATTCAAATTGTTGTCACCCAAGGTTCACATATTTTTAATTGAATTTTAAAACGGAGTTAAAATTTTACAGAACCACTGCTTTTCAGTTTACTTATTAATTTTTTTGTGGTGCTTTTAACTATCTATTAAAAAGCCCACTACACTGTGGGAAAAGGACTTATGTAGGTTTTTAATATAACTCAAGAACTAATTTTTCATGTTCAAACGATTGGTGATTGGGACACAGTACCATACACCCAATAAGACAATAAAGCATAAACATTTAAAAGAAATATGTAAGAGTTATTTAAAAAGTTTATGTTAATATGCATAGCATTGCAATAAAACAGTGTCTAAGCCTAATGTTTTAAAGCCATTGCTCCTCACCACCATGGATGAATACAGTTACTAGCAAATTGCAAATGTTTTTTTAAGGAATCTCTTATACAGCCTTACAGAGGGAATACAGTCTGAGCATATTTTAGCAAGTACTGTTGCTGTGTGTATTCATAGCCGCTGTTAAACTCAATGCCACCCCTCCCCCCCCTTTTTTTTTTTTACCAGGTTTTGATTTTTCCAGAAGGTACTTGTACAAATCGCTCCTGTTTAATATCATTTAAGCCAGGTAAGTTTTGAACATAGAATGACTATTTATTGAACTATTTTAACTGTGGTGTAATACACTTTATTTTATTTCTGTGCTTTTGATTTTCTGAAAACTGTGTGTGGTGTTCAAAAGAATGCTTTCTTATACAATGCCTTACATTTATCCTTATCCTACTAATTGGAATGGTGGTGCAGTAACATCTACTATAACCAGCAAGCAGTAGAGTATGCCTACATAATATAGCTGCTGTAGCTCACAGAAAACCCTAATGATTTTAGGAATTATGTCACTGCCATACATAATTTAGAAACATTTTTTGGCAGGATCAGAAGCCCAGCAGCTGTTTAAATAGATTAACACTAACTAAGGCTGTGGCTGCAGGTCTATACCCTGGCTGGACCCCTTGTATTCACTGTAACACACTGCCATTTTTAAGCAACACTTTGAAAAACACATAAGAACTTAAGCAGGACATTGAATGCATAGTTACCGACTGTCACGGATTGCCCTCGACGATCACGAATATTTGAATGAAGTCCCGCCATTGCTGTGTCCCGGACAAAAAAGTAAAAAAAAAAATTAAACACTTTCCTGGTCCCATTTGTTCAGAGGGGAAGGGGGGCCGCGGCACACTGTGGACTATTTTTCCATTTTTGGGAGCGGCAGAGTAATCTGCTGTGCCGCTGTTTCTTATTAATAAACAAAACTCCTGGCCACTTTTGTATCAATCTGCTGGAGCAATGTAAAAGAGGCTGGGAGCGACACAGAACACGGCAAGTGACACAGAACGGTGTTGGAGACCCATCCCCCCCCCCCCCACTTCCACCCCCAGAAGCTCGGTCCAGGCACTGCCATTGAGCACACTGGCACCCCCATCATACCTGAGGTAGAAAGGCTTTGCAGTGTGAGTTGGTGGGAGGGGGTGAAGCCAGCCTCAGAGATGATCATGCTCTGCCCCCATTCGTTCTAGTGAAGTGCCAGCAATGGAGCTAAGCTCTGTGCTGGTGCTAGGGATTTGCAAATCTGCTGTGCTTCTATAGAAGTGAAAAAAGTCTGCATTGGGCATAGCTCTCCTTTTTTTCATGTAGCATTAGCAGTGACTGTGAGAAATTGGGTTTAAAACTACACTGTCCAATTTCTCACAGTGCTACATGAAAAGGGAGATTTTTTTACTTCTATCTAAAATTTTAGAAAAAAGTGCTGTTAGCTGACAAAAATGGTATATATTTTCATGTAGCATGTTCTGACTGAGAAATTGGACAGTGTAGTTTTAAACCCAATTTCTCACAGTCAGTGCTTGCTGACGCCATCACTAAGGCCACGACCACAATTGAATGCTCCACCCCCAGTTAAAATAATACTCTGCTCACACCAACTTTCTGGACATACAGAAAAAAAAAAGTGTGTTCCTAAAATATTTTTTTTTTGGAAATGTTGGCAACTATGTGAATAAAAATCAATATTGTCATTCAACTTTTCATAGGATTGTGCCATCATTATTTTCTTTTGGAATATACCATGCAAAAACCTTTTTATTTTTCTTCATTTGCTGAAGTGATGCAATGTATTTTGATCTTAGACGATCCCCTATTGTACACTGCCTCTGTACACTCCCCTTGTGTATGAAGGAATACTGTATAATGAGAATGCACTATGGTAATTTTAATTTGGTGCGCTATAATCAAAAAAAAATGAAAATTTGGAAAAAAAACTATATTTTCTACTTTCGGCTATAAAAAAAATATATATCGTAAACTCAAAGTTAGTCATAAATTTAAGCCAAAATGTATTCTGTTACATGTTTTTGGTAAAAAAAATCCCAATAAGTGTATATTGATTGCTTTGTGTGAAAGTTAGTGTCTACAAACTATGGTAAAGATACTGTAATTTATGCCATTTTTTGCTATACAGCTCTGCACTAATTTAACTGACAATTGCGCGGTCATGCAAAGCTGTACCCAAACAAAATTTATGTCCTTTCTTTCACACAAATAGAGATTTCTTTTGATGGTATTTGATCACCTGTGCACTTTTTATTTTTTGCGCTGTAAACAAAAAAACACAAAATTTTGAAAAAAAAACAATATTTTCTCATTTCTGTCATAAAATATATCCAAAAAACTCAAATTTTCATCATAAATTTAGCCAACATGTATTCTGCTACATGTTTTTTGGTAAAAAAAATCCTAATACGTGTATATTGGTTGCTTTGTGTGAAAGTTATAGCATCTACAAACTATGGTATAGATAATTTGAAATTTACATAGGTTTTACTTTCTGGCTGCCTATCACATTTCTTGAGGTGCTAAAATACCAGGATGGTAAAAACACTCCCAAATGACCCCTTTTCAGAAAGTAGACACCCTTAGCTATCTGCTGAGAGGCATATTGAGTCCATGGAAGATTTATTTTTTTCCACGTTTCTGGAAAATGACAAAAACTTTTTTTTTTTTTTTTACACAAAGTTGTCACTTAAATGATATATTGCTCACAAAAGCCATGGGTATATGTGGAATTACACCCCAAAATACATTCTGCTACTTCTACTCAGTATGGGGATACTACATGTGTGAGACTTTTTGGAAGCCTAGCCACATACAGGAGCCTGAAATCCAATGACCACTTTGAAAGCCTGAAGGTGCGTAACTTCTTCATTTCACTTCCTCACTACCTATCACAGTTTCGGAGGCTCTGAAATGCCAGGATAGCACCAAACCCCCCCAAGTGACCCCTTTTTGGAAAGTAGACACCCCACGGAATTTAAAAAGAGGCATGGTAAGTATTTTGCAGATCTAATTTTTTTCTCACAAGGTTTTGAAATATAAAACAAAATAAAAAATATGTTTTTGTTTTCTTTCTTCATTTTACAAAAACTTGAGGCAACAAACAAGATCTGCAAAATACTCACCATGCTAATTATCAAATTCCTTGGGGTTTCTACTTTCCAAAAATGGGTCATTTGGGGTGGTTTGGTGCTATTCTGGCATTCCAGGGCTTCCGAAACTGTGATAGGTAGTCAGGAAGTGTAATGAGGAAATAAAGCCCTTTAAAGGACTGAAGGTGCTTATTGGATTTTGGGGTCCTGTGCTTGACTAGACTGCCAAAATGTCTTTCACATGTGGTACCCCCATACTCGGGAGAAGTAGCAGAATGTATTTTGTCGCGTAATTTCACATATACCTATGGCATGTGTGAGCAATAAATTATTTAAATTACAATTTTGTGTAAATTTTTTTTTTTGTCATTTTCCAAAAACTTGTGGTAAAAAAATAAATTCTTCTATTGATTCAACATGCCTCTCAGCAAATAGTTTGGGGTGTTTACTTTCCGAAAAGGGGTCATTTTGGGGGTGGGTGGCATTTTATGCCCAGCATTAGAAGTTTATGCCACACATCACACACTCTTCTAACCACCTGAAGACCAAGCCTTTTCTGACACTTTTTGTTCACATTAAAAAAAATCGGTATTTTTGCTAGGAAATTAATTTGAACCCCCAAACATTATATATTTTTTTAGAGCAGACACCCTAGTGAATAAAATGGTGGGTGCTGCAATTTTTTATCTCACATAGTACTCACACAACGATTTTTCAAACGCAATTTTTTTAAAAAATATACACTTTTTGTAATTTTAATGCACAAAAACACAATATATTGGCCAATTATTTGGTAAGATATAAAAGGTGATGCTATGCTGAGTAAATAGATACCAAATATGACATGCTTTAAAATTGCGCATGCCCCGTGCAATGGCAACAAACTGCATACATTTTTAATATCTATAGGCAACGCTTTAAAAGCCTTTGCAAGATACCATTTTAGATTTACACAGGAGGTCTAGAGCTATAATTACTGCCCTTGATCTGACGTTTGTGGCAACAATACCTTACATGCATGGTGCAACCGCTGTTTCCATACTGGCACAGGGTCAACACTCATGACCACAGGTGCGCGTGGGGGCGAGCGTACTTTTTTTTTTTTGTTATTCTGATTTATTTAATTATTTTTACACTGTCCCTTTAATTTTTTTTTTTTTTTATCACTTTTAATGCTATCACAGGGAATTCAAATATCTCCTATAACTTCAATGGGCATTGTCATATATTCTTTTTTGAGAAATCTGGGGTCTATCATACTCTAGATATCTCCTCTGCCCTTACATTATCTAATCTCACCAAGATTGGTATGATCAGATGCTTTCCCAATTTAAAAATGGCAGTGTTTACATCCTGCGCAACTGAAGTGATGAAATGCTCGTAGCTTCTGATTTCTTAGATTATAGAGATGATTGGCACCATTCCGGTCTCCAATCAGCTCTATGATCAGCTGGCAGAAACACCGGCTGCATTCTCAGGTTTCCCCGATGGCACGGAACTGCCCGAGAAGGCCATGAAAGGTAGCAGGGGGGGGGGGCATTTTCTCCCTCTGCTTGTAAAAGCAATCCTGCAGCTAATTAGCCACTAGGATTGCTTTTACATGAAAGCCCATCGCCGGCTGAAAAAAACAATACCAGGATGATGCCTGCAGCTGCAGTGAATCATAGGGGCTATCCACCCACTGGCCACCCCAGGCCCCCATGCTTCGGCATATATGCTCTTTTTTTAACTGTGAAATAAAAATCTCATCCGACAGCACTGCACACACCTACTGTATATTCTGAGAGCAATACCCTGTTGCTGTCAGAATAAACAAGTCGGTGCTGCAGTTTGACATTCCTGCAAAGAACTCAACAATGGTTAACAATAAAACAGTAACTCAAAACAACTTTATAATTGAAATATCTCTGCAAGGAAAAGTGTGTGGTGGTATGCCCAGCGTTAGAAAACCTCCCTTCATCCACCCACTTCAAATGGTGGGCACACATAAAATGTGCCAACAAATATAAAATATATATGCTGAAGCATAGGGGCCATCCACCCACTGGCCACCCCAGGCCCCCATGGTTCGGCATATATGCTCTTTTTTTAAACTGCGGATGGAAAATCTCATCCAACAGCGCTGCCCACACGGACATATGTA